ATTATTATTCGAGTAATGTTATTTTTTATATTATATAGCTAAAACTATAATTTAAAGCGGAAAAATGGCGGCCATTTTGAATGCGTAGTTTGGAGGTGTTCCCCCAAAGGGATTTTGGGTAATTTTGAGTTCTGAACTTCTCAAGACCTATATTTTCAGAAAATATCAAAATTAGCCGGTAGTACTTCCATTGCCACCTCGACGATTTTTAGAGGACTTTTTGCTCGCCTATGAGGAAGTTCAAGTTAACTCTCTTGGTAATATAACTTTCAAAATTTAACAATAAGTCATTCCATTGAAATTTAAATCAATGTAATACCTTCATTGGCATTTTGAATTGAAATTTAATAGCATATATTCAAATAATTTAAACACTCGATTGACTAATCATTCAGTTTCAATTAAGACCAGTGGCAGATCCAGGAATTTTAAATAAAAGGGGAGGGGGGCCCTGGGTGGCACCTTTGCTGGCCAGAAACGGCACTCCCCTAGACTTAAAATTGAAATATAATTTTCTGTTTTCGTCATTTAAAATTTTGTTAGAATTTGGGGGGGGGGGGGGGGGGTGGGCCCGCTCCCCCAACCCTTTTGAATCTGCTATGGAAGACCTTGTGTCAGATTGATGTTACTATACCTTCTCAGCTCTAGTATTATATGTTTAGTTTTGAATAGATAAATTTCCTGAATAAATATATAGCACAAAAAAACAAAAAAAAAAAAAAAAAAATGAATCATTATTATTCATACTAACTTTAATTAATAAAATTTATTTACCTTAAAAGATTCTAAGTCACATCCTCCATTCGCAAACACTATCATAATAAACAGCTGCTGATCACAATAGGAGTCGGGCCGATCATTGTCCGAACCTTTCAGTGAGTCAAACTCGTCCCACAATCTGATAAGATCCGGGGGAAATTTCCCCTGACAGCAGTGAACTGCTTTAACCTCAATGAAGTGGTTGGTTTGACCGTGAATATTTGTTCCACGCAAAGAGCTCAACTCTCTAAAATTAAATCGATAATAATTTAGGGGATCGCCTCACTACTTTAATATTTTATTTTATTCCTTCCAGCAGTACAAACATTAAAATATACAACATATAGGAGGAGAGCTGTGGAGAGACAAAAGCTGAATAAAAACTACTGTCGCCAAAGGGCATGCCTCTCCAACTCCTCCAATACAAACATAAAAAAAAGCTTAAACTGAACATTACATACACACACACATATTAAACCATTCAATAATAAGCTAACCCAAATTCTCACACCTAACCCAAAAAAAACCCCCCTCTATTCAGAATGGCAATTGTATTTATATTACAATTAAATACATGTTGATGGTAATTGTTATTGTCGTGATCTGGTTTTCTGGGTTTGCGTCAGGAGAAACATGTACAGGTGTACAATTGTTGTTGTTGTTGTTTGGTGGTCTAGAGGTATGATGCCAGGCTAGTGATCTGGAAATCGTAGGTTTGAGTCCCACCCGAGGACAACTTGCGATTTTTTTTTGCAATTGTTTTCAAAACGTGTATTCAGTACATTTTCCACGTCAGGTAGGGCAAAAATTACACCTATAAATACATGTTAAAAACAATATTATGATTACATTAGTATAAAAATATAACTGTACTTAGAAAAATAAACTTAACAATGACCAAAAAATATTGCACATTACAAAATTCTAAATTCAACAATTATTGTGATTAAATCTTAAAAGTTGGGCAAGCGGGCAATCAAATTATTAAAAAAATTTCAGTATTATATTTTATAATTAGAGATGTAAGTATTGTAATTGCATTAGTATAAAAAATAACTGTATTTAGAAAAAAAATGAAGAGTATTGTAAGAGTATAATCAATTAATCAATAAATAATCAATCAATAATCAATTAATCAATAAGCAATCATACTTACTTTGAAATAACAATTTCAGGTAAAATTTCTTCAAAAGTTTTTTGTGGTTCGTCATTCACAACTAAATCTCCTTCAATAGGAATAATCTTTTAAACAGAAAAAAAAAATGTGTAGTTAACAGGCAAAATGTTGCAAACAGAATGTAATTAGTATTGTGTTAGTGAAGGGGACAGAGATTGATGACTACTGTCAAAAAAGACAGTAATATATTGATTTCCTTGATTTTTGTGCCCGGCAGGACGTGCTACAATCCATTATCCAAACTTACTGTCGTAGAATTTCCATAAACATTGCAGGATAGAAATTGTGACAGAGAATCAGACAATTGTTCTTGTGGGAAAAAAAATTACCAAGCTGCCTAACAGAACGAATTAGTCACCAAAACAAAGCTGATTTTGGTATTCCATTAAAACTAGTCGCTAGATGGCAGTTTTTTCACACAATAATAAGTCTCCGCTCGAATAAATTTCAACAGTGTTTAAACTCCTCAAACTTGTTTATTTGTACATATTACTGTAAACTAACTTATCGTAAAGGCTTGGTACATACTCCTTTAACAAAACGTCAGACTTTTGATCCATTAGGTTTGAAATAGAGTGAAAGATACAAATGGAAAACTTGAACATTTTTTCATAGCCTCGTCACATGAACACGGGCCTATCACATTTTTATTCATCACATAAAATTTGAAAGTGTGGCAGAGCCTTAAGCACCTGTCCAGACTATCAAATTTTCTTAGACAAAAAAACTATTGTATGCCCATATATAGTCATGATGTGCCTATATATGGTCATGTTGTGCCTATATATGGACATGATGTGATGTCATCATGACCATATTTAAGCATGTCATGTTTTTTGTCAAAACAATGTCAATCTGGAGAGAGTTTGAGTTTATAAATCCAATCCACAACAGTGAATAGTCTGTTAAATAAGACAATACATTGCATTTCCAAATTAAAGTTCAACTAAAGAAATTACACATTTAAATCAGAATGTTTTAATTTTAATAGGATAGAAAGACATATTATAGGTACATAACAAATTTTGATGTGAACTATAATTTAGAATCAGATGCAAAGTTGTAAAGAAGAACTATACTCACCTTCACTGCTACATTTTCATCGTTCAATTTCATCTGAAAGACTTCTCCGTACACTCCTTCCCCAATCTTCCGACAGTCTTCTAAATCCATCTCTGTTAAAACACTGGTAAAAGGTATCACTTCCGACTGACCGCAATGAAGTAGAACTTTCTTACGAGCTGTTAAAACCGTCCCACGTTTACCCCTAAAGGGTGTCAATGAATTCTGTAATATGGTAAAAAAAAAGTTTCTGCTAGATTGTACGGAAGAAATATTAGCAGTAAATTTAGACACAAATAAATCGAATTCCTATACTAGCTTGAGCACTTCTATTGATACTGCTTTAAAAATAATTCATATTATCATCATTATTACTATTATACATTTTTGGCATTATACCTTAAACATGCGGCACTGTAATTACTTTTAAATAAGAAAATCTTAGTACTTGCCCGAAAGTTTCCAAATGATCTTTCAACCAAAAATTGATCATGCAAGTCATCTGGTTTCACTATAGGGCTGAGTTGATCAGGAATATAACTTTCAATCATAACAGATTCATTGTTCTCAACATCATTTTCATGGATAATATTAGTCTTAGCATCTCGTAATGGCTGAACCCTTAAATTACTTGTGTCAGGAGTGCCCTGAAACTGTATTTTTTTGTCCGAAACCAGTCTTGGTAGCTTGACTTCACAAGGAATATAAAGTAGGGAATTTTCTTCCCTACTTAAATCTTGTAAATGTGGAGTTGTTGGCCTTACAATACTCTCTTCAGAATCCAAGGTAAATGAGTTTTTTTCAAGTTGTTCAAACTTTTCTGATTTAATAATCCCATCAAATGATTTCAGCTTATCTGGTTTACTACCTGCTTTAGTTTTCTTTCTCTTTGCCTTATTTTCTTTGTTATTTGATGGCGTTACATTTTTTCCATTCACAAACACATCCTGAAAGCTCCTCTTTTCTACAGTCTAAAAAGATAAATATGAATAAATTGTAAATTAAAGGATGAATAAGTGAAGATGAAATTAAAAAAATTATGAATTAATGACATGACAAGTAGCTTTGCATCATTCCTTCAGTACTTTATGTCAGTTGTTCCCTGATTCTGTATTACTTTCTTTAGGTCTCATTATGAAGAATATAGTACTGATGATTTTCAGCTTTGCTTAATTGATGCTTTTTGTAATTAAAATAATATTAAATAACACTTTTGGATGTTATATTTATTAATGGGCATTTTGCAATAATTTTTGTTACAAGTTGATCTTTGATCTTTTTCTCTCTCTTGGTGTACATTTTTGATGTTCTCTTACTGACCACTTTAAAGTGCAATTTAAATTTTATATTTTTGATGTTGAATATTGACCTTATTTTAGTCCTATTTGAATCATGTTAATAAGATTTATTAATGTACATTTTTGATGTTTTTCCTCCTTATTATTAAGTGTTTGCCTTGTATTTTGAATGTTTTTATCTTTCCTTGTACTGTAAATTGACTTATCTATATCTATGGATATACAACAGATCTAGTTCTAGTTTTAATTAAATATAATTTTATTTATTTAAATTGTTTTAAAGTTGTTTAAATATGTAATTTTTCTAGTGCTTTGCAAAATTAATAATTCGACAATTTCTGTTGATACTAAAATAATCTGGCAATAGTTTAAACATTTTTTATTGAAATGGTCAAGGTGTGCTTCCAACAACTCTTATTATTGTCTTAATTCATTTTATGAAAATTATTATTAAATTATTTATTATAACAATAATATTTAATGCTGTATTTAATTTTTAAGTGCTTTGCAAATAATAATTTTCATCTGTTGAATTTGTTCCTCGGTTGGTACTGGAGAGCTCCCAGACAGATGGGCGTTGCCCTCTTTTGAACACTCCTACCTGTACCAGGTACTGCTAAGTAGTTTGGTAATTTTATGTTTGTTTTTGTAAATTTGAAATGGTGTCATTATATGTATGTAACCATATTACGCCTAACTTTAAAATCCATTCACATGCCTACAGTAGTCTTAAAAAATAACATTCAACATTTAATCCTAAAGATGGTTGACTTTACCTCGATGTCTGGTGTGCTTGAGCTATTCTTAGGCTGCACAGGTTCATCTGAGGACAGTGAAGCATTCTTTGCGGCTGCTTTTTTTTTTCTTCTACAAAAAGTTGTTTTAAGCTCTGCCTCTGGTGTTTCAGGAACAAGAACAGGACTTTCACCTGGACTGGTCACTTCCAAGTTGGACCACAGTAGATTACATAATTTTTTTTCTAATTGCTTGTCTGTCCCTTTCAACTTGAGGCTGAGGTGAAACATACATTCCAAAAAAATAAATAGTTAGCTAAATATTAATTATATTTAATTATACTATATTTATATAATTGTATTATTATTCATGGACGAAAATGATCATAGTAGTTGATGAAATCATTGCTAAGGTAAGCAACTAATTCATCATCATCAAAACAATTTTGTTAATTGGTTTAACAAAACAGATAACTTTCCTACTATACTTTAATTTTTAAATATGTATTAAGTCAAAACTGAAACAAAGGACTTGGAACATGATGTACAGTAGTTAAGTGAAAAAAACAACTATAAGAAATAAATTGGTGTCTTACGTTTCTTCACAGAATGTTGAATCGTTCAAGTCTGAGAATGCATTGGATGGCTTCGCTAAATTTGTTGAGGATTCCTTCAATTCTGGTGACAACCAATTATCATACAAGAGAGTTCTTTGAGCTCGTTTACCATACGTCTTTACAACCTTCTTCCGCAATGCCATTTTAAAAAATCCATGTACAGCATATATCTAGACCTATCAATAAATCAAAAATCAAATTTATTAACAGTTAATAAAAAACCGCCTTTATTGAATCAACTATAATGGAATATGACAAACCAAGCATTGTTGACCTTTAAAACATGCATAATTAACAGTACATTTTTTTAAATACCAAAGTTACATTGGATGGATGGAGTAGCTAATCTTTTTCATAAAAAAATCATGTTCCACAACTATCAACAAAGTGACACATCTGTTGTTAGCGGTACTATGGTACATCATTTTGAAAAAACATTAAATAAAGAGGCTCCAATCATTAAATCCGACCCATGCATGTATATGATGTAGGCCTACTGTATGCCTAGTGGTGTAGGGTCCAATATTGATTGGGCTATATTTTATTCCTGATGATGACATACTGTAGTAGGGCCTAATTAATGTCGAAATATTGAATATTACTTTCATATCTGAGTGAGAGATTAATCAGCGGAACTTTCGGTTATATTTTATAAATTATAGTTGTTCAAAAGCAGGCACTACTGTACTGTTAGGTTTATGTCTTCGTAGAAGTGGTTTGGCGCAGTGGAAACGGTTTGGTTTCCCAACCTTGAGGTCGGGGTTTCAATTCCCTCGCTGTGCATTTTGCTTGTGTCCCTTTGGCAAGGCACTTTATCTACATTGCTTGTCTCCACCCAGGAGTATAAATGGGTACCTGCAAGCTGCTGCAACTTTGTGTTCCATAGCCTAGGAAGGCGTCTAACTAATCCAATGACCGGGTGTAACTGTAGTAATGTGAAGCAGAGGCCTAGAGTAGTCTAGTAGTAGTGGCAGCAGCTTTATACCGTAACACTACTGTACTATTATAGGCTAGCTTATGTCTCACTATCTAGTCTGTCTGAGCTTAGCTAGGCCAACTATGCCTAGCTAGGCCTAGCCTAACATACCCTTGCCAACTGGTAGGCTCGTGGTTGCAGTTAGTGATACGATCTGACTGCTGCAGTGCCAGGCTAAGCATAAATATTAAATAACCTACCGTGGAAATAAGTGCGTTTATATTCTTGGTAAGAACAAGGAAATGACATATATTTAATGTCGTTAAAACAAAAGAATAGGCCTAATAATACCCCTTTGTTTTAATAATTTCCAGGCCTTTAAATCTTCTATGCTTTCAAAATATGTCAACATAAGGCTACTACTAGTGCATGGATATGATTGGACCGTCAGCATTTACTACCAGCTCGTTGATTGGTTGGTGAGAGTGATTCGCTAATCGAGTGATGGCAGCAACACGATTTATTTGACGTCGTCGGAGTACTCTATGTTGTATTTAACTGGTAAAAAGTTGGCTGCCTAGATGAATGACAATTGGGTTGGTCATTCCACCAGGTATCTCCTTATATATGACACAAAGTTCAGTTAATACGTTAAGTCACATATATAAAAGTGATATATTATTTGAATGGGTTTGTATTGTCTTTATATTGTATTTTTAAAAAAACAAAAAAACTATTTATATTTTAGAAAATATAAAGAAACCATCGTCTAGTATTGTAGTATATAAAGAGAATCGTAATGCGCAATATTAGATCTTCAAACAAATATACCATACGTATCACTTTGATTTATAAAACTTGATTTACAATATCATTTCAACTTATTTATTTCAACAATATTTTATAAGGGTGGTCCACTCAGCCAAAGCTGACCAATTGGGACCTATCTGTATTTCAATGATATTTTACTTTGAATATCAAAAATTTGAGTTGTTTTTTTTTTCGCATTTGTATTGTCTTAAAATATACAGGAACTCAAAAACCGTATCTTTCTTGCAAATATAGTACAAGTTTTATGCTATCAATACACAAGCCATCAAGCGCACCAAATGCACCGAATTTGAAACATGCCAATACTAATTTTGCTTGGGTCCGTGGGGACGACCATTTGCTTCCTTCACCTCGCTCTTTGGATGGGACGTTAATCTGGCGGCTGCGTGTGCATATTATAAAACACACAATTAGAAATAATTAGGGGATTTTCTCCTACTGACCAAGGTAGGTGCTGAACCGCTTTAATCTATTTTCGGGGTCAAGAAACAGCGTCTTTTTGGAAGGTTTTAGGGCACATTTAAAGTGCATAAAGGAAGTTGGAAATTATGATACAACACTGAAACACGACATGAATTATCATTATTATTATTATTATTACTATTATTATTTCAATGTTTCTGAATGACAATCTAATTAATTATTCAAACTTGTTATAAAACATAGAATGTATTGTAAATAACAAGCTCAAATTTTTCTTAAAACAAGAACAAATATCACAAATCAATATCAATTTATGAAATGTTAGTATTTATTTCCAAGTGCTAATAAATAGTTCAAGATAAGTATTCAAAATAATTTTGATCTAAAGGATATCAATAGAAAGAAGGAAATAGCACAAAAACTTGCTCTTTATGCACGAAATTTAAAAGTTACATTAAATATAGAAAGCAAGAAAAGACGATATACTGTATTTTTAAGGCACTGGAGAAGTAGGCTCCTAATAAAAGCATATAAGTACATATATTTGTTTTCTTAAGAGTAAATATGCTAGTAAATAAAATGAGATATAATACAGTTATCAGTGGCGGATGCAGGAATTCGAAATAGAGGGGGCCCATTGAGGGATTTTCACAGAAAAGGGGTCTATACCACCTCAACCCCACCATTTTGGGTCTGAAGCAAGGAAATTTATGAATATGGCACCATTAGATGGCCGGAAATGGCACTTTCAGACAAATTTTAATGTAATTTTCTTTCTTTCTCCTTTTCTTTTTTAATCATTTAGGTGTGGGGGGGGGGGAAGGTTGGCCCACTTGAATCTGCCACTGGTTACATCAATGATAGTACATAATGAATGCTGAGGCTCTACAGGTATATGCTTTATTGCCCCAGACGTTGGATCAAACAGACATACTTAGGCCTATATCCCTGCAGAGTGTTATACATTGTTGCAACAGGGTGTCTAGAAAACTCTAGATCTATATATTTCAGATCTCAGATTCAACCTGGTTGCAACTAGTAATTAGCAAATTGTCACCAAGTACAAACTTAATACTTCTGGCTGTATGCAGCAGGCATACAGTGCCTTGCTTGAAGACACAATGCGGCTTCTTTAGACGTGAGCCCGCATCTTGAAATTAGAGGTATGACGCCTTATCGTTTTACCACATCCTTTCAAAATCTCATTATGAGATTTTGGAATTCGAGTCTTTTTAGCCATAACATTGATTTGGACCCAGGACCATGGTATTGAATGTCAAGCACCTTAACCCATAAAGCTACATAATATACTGTAGTTATCCCAAAAATATAACTTAAATATTTTTAAGTTCAGTCCTCAAAAACTACACTTCACCAACAAAAATCAACAATCTTAACTAAAGTTTAAAAATTGTCCTTTTTAAAAATTATGAAATATCTATAGTAAAACAATTTAATCTAAAAGAAGTTAATAAACCCATAAATCCTCAAAACATTTAGATAAAAAAGGTGTGTAGACGAAAATATCATTAATGGAGGTACACTAATGGTAGCTCTAGCATTCTGGCATATAGAATCCATTACTTTTTAGGCCTGAAAATTTACCACAGTCATAAATTATGCCACTAATGTCTTACAAGCTATCAACTTGCAAAACAGGCCAAAGACAAGCACCTTATAAGAATTCTAGTACAGTACATTCCGCGATTTTCTTGTGGCTCGCATTTTAAGTCCAGATGCTTCAGTTTCTTTGTCTGCAGCCCTGATATCAATTCTAAGTACAAATCATTTATAGGCGTATATTAATTGGTCTATTTTCATACAAATTCTCCTCTCATTCACACCATACACCTATATTCTATAGCGCCCCACTAAAATTAAAATATCCAAACATTCTCTTCCATTTTTTAAAAAATTTATCCTCATCCAACAGTGAGGATGTGGTGCTCTGAAAATAAAGTCTTCTACATGGCTTAGAGCTACATCTCAACCCCAATTTTTATTTTATTGAAAAAAGAAACCAGTTAACCAAACAAACTCTCATGCTGCATTTCAGCTTAGGGATATTGAATTCATATTGCACTTACAGCCGTAATTGAGTGAATACTTAATTAAAGTCCAATTTTCATGTCAGTGATGTCACTTCTCTCAATACTTATAGAATTTACATACGGAATGTTTAAGTGGAAATAAATGTTTTTAAGTTCCATTCACCTGATGTGTTCATGACATGATTGAATAAAAATTAAATAGATACAGTACATGACATATTTTTTTAATCTATGATAGTTTTCCCAATTCAGCTTTTCTGAACACCTCTCCAGCAGTAAATATCATAGCATCAATGATTCCAGCAACAGTGAAAGTTCCACCAACAATGGCACAGATCTGCAATGAACAACATTTGGCAAATTTTATACATAAAATGATGATGTTGATGACAATGATAATAATAATGATGATGATAATAATAATAATAATAATAATCATCATCACCATCTCATTTATTCATTCTAATAATAAATATACATACAATGTTACTAAGCTTAGTACAGTAAATTTACAATAGAATGGACTTTACATATTATGGTGTACCATAGTATAGATATTCTTATTAGTTACTAATAATAAGAAAGTTACTAATAATAATAATAATAATAATAATAATGAATGTCTTAGGGCATAATGCTGACATTTCAATTATTAATAATTAATTGAATTACTATTTTCTATAAAATTGCTTGTCATGCTACATAGATAATATAAAGTAAAAATAAACTAACTACTGAAAAGGTTATTAAAAGATTATTATAATTTCTGTATATGAAATTGAAAGTACACATCAAAAAAATGTATTAAAAATATAAAATAATGACATATATAAATTTAAACTTACCGTTGTGATAAATGTGTAGAATGGAGCTCGTTTTTCATGATATTTGACGGTAATTGGACTAATGTCATATCGGAACCAGATGGCAGGTAATACTTTGTGACCATGCGTGGATGATGTATATGACTATAAATAAAATATAATAATTATTATTCATTTTACATTACATTATACAATGAAAAAAATAACAGTTACCTGGACATGTAGTGAAGAAACAAAACCAACAATTGCAGAAGTGAGAAATTGAAGAAAAAAAGAGACGAAGGAAGAAGACAGTGAGTAACAGTGACAGTCTACATGGCTTGAAATATTCTAAATAGACAATCAGAAAACCAATTAATCTGCACACTCTCAGGGTACAGTACATAGATGATGGTAGATACATTACTGTTTATAAGATATAAATCATATATTATATAAATTATAAAATTTAATAAATTACACATAAGTTATAAGTTATTGTAAGTACAGTAAAATTAAGCACAGCATGTAAGTTAAATAAATTGTATTTATTATTGTAGTGGGAAGAAACTGATTCCATTGGCTAAGACATTTTAACTCATCATTTGGATGACATGCTAAGCTTTGGTTTTAAATATTCGACATCAACAAAATAAATACCTTGTAAGCGTATGTGTATTGGTATGAGATGTTTTGGTTACCATTTACATCTTCGTATATCGTTGGAACAATTTTCATATAATAGTCGTGAGAATTATCAGCTGTAAAAAAATAATATCAATTTATTTCAGTCCAAAATGGACAATATGGGAAATTGCAGAATATGAAGATAAAATTGTGATAAAATATTAACACTAACTACATATTTTAATTAAAGTGTATTAAAGTGTCTAGAACAATAAAATAATATATAATACTGATAATTAGTAATGATAAAAATAAAGTAGAAATTACATTTGCTTTTGGATTTGTCTGTGCCTTTTAGAGGATTAAAAGCTGCATTTAAACTTTTTCCCTGTGAATAAAAGAGAAATTATTTATTTAAAATATTGGTGACAATCAGTGTTAAACTCTTGGGCTATAATCCGCAAGGAATCACAAAGCCAGTATATAAAATAGGGTTTAAGGGAATAAACAGTATTTCTTACAATTTTCCAAATTCTATCGAAGGGTGAAGTGCCTTGTGTAGTATAGACCGACTCCGCGATGTTTGTTTACAGCCAGTCATGTGACGTACGGTGGGCACAGACATGGAAAACATTACTGGGCGATCAGTGTAAAAGTATAGGAAAAGGTAATGTTATGGTTTAGAAAACAACCACCCACTGTTAATGTGAGAAATAAATGGCAAGGAAAGGCAATACGATTGTACAAAATAGTGTTTATTTACTTATTCTAGTATTCTCCTTGCATTGTAAGCTTTGAAATTTATGTGCTCCTTCGTAAACCTTACATAGCCTAGAAATCGTAACTTATTTCGCAGGTAGAAGACTCTTGTGCATACCTAAACAAGTTGTAGAATTGCAGGGGCCAAGGCATAAAATTTGTTGAAAAATCTCAATGTTTGGGGCCAGAGTATCCTTTGGAGCATTAGCAGACCATAAAGGCAAAATTCTCAAGATAAATTTCCAATCAACTTGGTATACTGTAGTTTACTGGTGTCCCAACCAACATTATTCATCATTATACAGTACCTCCCTGGCCAAATTACACAAAATAAGTTATAAACTACTGCATCATCATCATCAACAACTACTGTATCATCATCAACAACTACAGTATCATCATCATCATCATGTACTGTGTCATAGGACTTTCCACAATTCTCTGTGTCTGGCCACTGCAAAAATCTGCCACTCTCTGATGTACCACAGCTCAACCATACTCTTCATGAATTTAGTCTAGTCTACCTCTACAGTACCTCTCTTTCCAACGATGTATCATGTTAGCAAGCCCGTAGCCAGGGGGGTTCGAGGGGTTCAAAAGAACCCTCCTTTTCAAGAAATGCCATTTCAAATTATAATTAAAAAGTACCATTAGCATGGAAGTTGTTGAAATTAACTTCAAATATTTGAAATTTTTACAGACATCTGAGGTGTTATATCTTTACAATATACCCAAACCATGGTGGGGCTGAAGTGGGTTTACTCAAATGCATTTTTGTGATTACAACACCCCCCCCCCCCTTTTTAAAAATCCTGCCTACAGGTTTGCTGTTAGTGTGTTATATTCAAAGGTTTCATTTCTTATAAGATGACCCAGAAATTATAGTTGTCTTATAAACTACTGTATACTTACAGTTAAATCATCCCCAAATGAGACTTCTTGTATGACGTGAGAGAAATCTGGGCTCATAGGCTGGCTTCGACCGGCAGCATGCGTTGAAACATGGAAGTTGCCTGGAACCTAAATCAAAGAAAGATAATTAGCATAAAAGTAACAAAAGGTAGAAATTTTTCAATATGCTGCTATGAATATGATAAATATCCCAATCTATTGTATGTCTTTAACGATTTATATGAAAGACACATAAAAAGTCTGAATTATTTGTAAATTCGTTAATTGGAAAAGATCAAGTTTTGATACAAAAGAAATATACTGATATGAGATGAAATAAAAAAAAATGTTAAATCATTATTAATTTTAGAGATTAAGAATTTTGAAATTTTTGATTCAAAAGAAATGTATTGATATGATATGGAATGAAAAGAAAAATCTTAAATTTTGAGAGAAAATGAATTATTTGTTATAAAAAACTGAAATGAAAATAAGTATGAAATCTGAGACAGGAAATTATGTGAAAGTTTATGTTAATGTAAGGAATAAATATGGCTTTGCCTGAAAAAGAAAAAAAAAAAAAACCCTATTGAGGGGACACCCCTATTAAGGGGACACTTTTTTGGGTCCTGAAGGTGTCCCCTTAACAGAGGTTCTACAGTAGTGTATATATCTTAAAATCAATTTTGAATAACCATTCAAATACTTGCTCACCTTATTAATGGAAAACCGTGTTTCAAATTGACAACCTACGCCTTTATTGATAGGAATCTTCACTGTGTTGTCCACATACCCAACCTCATGTCTACCCATCTCATCCTGAATATCTAAACCAACAACTTCAAGAGAAATTGATTCCAAAAATTTTAGAATTCATTAAGTTAATATTTATTACAATAAAAACAAATATTGCCTGCATTTTTTTTTAATCAGTAGGAAGAGGGGGAGGGTGTGTGTGTGTATGTGTGTGTGTGTGTGGGGAGGAAATGCCACTTTATATTTAGTTCCAAGGAATTGTATTATCCCATGTATATGAGAATTTCTTTTCATATGAAACGTAAGTATAGGATCGGATAGCTGTTTTTTCTGGTCACTAGCACTTCTCTCATTATTTTAGGGGTATCATTTATTTCATCATTTATCAATTTGACACAAGAATGAAACAAATGCACAATAACAGTTGTGATCCATTCTGATATACAGGTAGTCAATTGATGAATCTAGAAAATACAAATAGAATTAATATTGAAAATTATAATGTAATCATTAAGTGTTTAATTTTTTTTTTTGTCTTGTATTTTTAGTTTGATGCATAATGATGAACTCGTCTGTAATGTTTCATGTGTTTTTGAATTATGAATAAAAAAAAAAGTCTTACCCAGAAAAATAAAAAAAATATGCTTAAAAAACAATCTAAAATAAAATTGTAGTTTATAATTGCTGCGAAGCAGCCAATTCATATTCTTGACAGCAATTTGACCTCTGAAAAGTCATTGTTTGTCAAAAAACCTGCGCCT